ACACACACACACACACACACACACACACACACACACACACACACACACACACACACACACCACTACAGGGCCAATTTAGACCCGGGACCTTTGCACTGCGAGGCAGCAGCACTAACCACTGCACCACCGTGCCGCCCGTCCACTAGGCTGCGGGATCCCTCTGTCAGTCGGAAACCACTCTGCTCACACACAGAGACGCTGCTCAAGTATAAAAATCCGGAAAATTTATCAAAACAGAACCAGGTCATATCAATCTCTTTATTAATAACCTTTTTTTATTTTTTATTTTTTTGCAAAGGAAAGCATTTCAAACTCCCGATAGTACAACTCAAAGTTTGGTACCAGTGTGTTTGACCTTTTTTTTTTTTTCTACTAAAAAGTTAAATCAGCTAAACATATGGCATAGTCACTGTTTACAATGTACAGATATCGTACTTCCCTTTGTGGAGAACCATGGTAAAAAGCGCCATTTAAAGCAACGGTGCAGGGTTAGACACACGGCTGCTCTCATTAAATACATCCAAGAGGAGAAGTTCAAGTTACAAAAACACAAGTGCGCACATAAATGATGAGTTTAAGCCGCACAAAGGCGGTGAATAAATATGCTTCTCTGCATGGACATCAGCGTGATCGGTGAGCGCCCCCTGCAGTCACACTCAGGTAAAAACAACACTAATGTTACACTGGGGTTGGCACTGCATCCTGAACCAGGGGAGTCGCACCCAAGTCAGGCACCGTTCTCATAATAATTCAACTTATAAATGGTTTCAATGCATATGCAGTCGGATTCTCGCTAACCTGCCTGGTCTCCGATCTCTGGGAGGTCACACAGGGAGGGAAAATACGATATGAAATCAATGCTCTTTGGCTGCCACTTCTCAAGAAATTCAAGTCTGTTTATCAAGTCGTAAGTCGTTGGCCACGACTATCGCACTCACACACAGAGTGGGCAGCATACATTCACTTGAGTAACAGGACACTGCACTGACCATCACTGCTTACGGAACGGGGGGGAGGGGCTTTAAGGTGCATTAACGGAGGAAGGGGTGCAGTGCACAGTGATGGAGGAGAAATGACAGCAAAACCCCCAAACAAGCCCGGGGATTCAACAAAAAAGTGCTTCTGCTGGGCCGGCGTTTTCCTCAACACTCAGCAGCCAGCGAGGACGTCCCTAACGGAACTGTGCTACTTACAGTATGAGCCTGGGGGGGGGGCGCCAGCGAGCCCCTTTACAGTCACAGCGAGTTCATCGACACCTAAGAACACATTATGTTGCTATACACTGTACGAGCATGGAAGATTATTTCATATTTACAATTACAAATGAAAAGGCTGTACAAAGTTCTTACAGGCATATGGTTGATCTGTCACTAGAGCAGTCTGTACACATGGTGAGATAAAGGGTCACCAGGGAAAAGCAGCCACCAATCTCTCCATCCATCCATCCATCCATCCATCCATCCATCCGTCCGTCACTTGAGGCTGGTCTGTTTGGGCAGCTGGGAGTCCAGCAGCATCTCGGGGCTCTGTGGCCCCGGGCCCTTCATCGCCATACTGGCCCCAACCATGGCCGGGTAGCTGCGGTTGCGCCGGATGCCGGCGTTGAGGGCGGGAAGGCCGCCGATGGCGCTGGTTACCACCGGTGGCCCGAAGGGGGCCCCATGCTGGTGCAGCCCCCCGAGTGGCGTCAGCAGCGGAGCGGGGGCCATGGCCCCGGGGCTGTCCGGATGGGCCACGCCAAAGTGTCGAAGTTTGTCCACGAGCTTCAGGTTGTGGATGCTGACGTCCGTCTGGCTCTCGTCATCCGAGCGGCTCTGAGCGTCCGCTTGCACCTCCTTCAGGATGGAGCTGGCGGGACGCGAGGCCAGGAAATTGTCATAGGGGGTGCGGGGGGCGCTGAACTCGAAGGGGGGCGAGGGGGGCGAGGGGAGGGTGGGCTGAGTCTGGCTGGTGGGCGAGTTGGGGGGTGTGGAAGGTAGAACGCGGGGGGTACTGGCGGAGGCGGCCACGGCACCAGCGTCTGCCCGGTTCCAGCTCTGCGGGTTGTAGACAGCCGCAGAGATGCCCCTCTCCTGTAGGAGGCGCACCAGCCCAAGCGAGGTACTCATGGTCTTAGTGGAGTCCCGCAGGTTGGTGAAGGACTCTGCCAGGCTGAGCCGACGCGGGGTACACGGTGTGGAGGCCGGCGTGGATTTGATACTGCTGGTAATGATGCACGCAGCCGCAGGGCCAGTGTTAAGGCTGCAGGGACAGGAAGTGACACGCGCATTACAACCGGAGGCAGGCAAACCCAGGAAGGAAGTTTCACTTCTACCAAAGTTCACCTTCTCCAGTGAGATATCCAGCTACCTGAACAGGGAACTACCTGTGACAGCCTTGAGTACAAGTACTCTCTCTCTCTCTCTCTCTCTCTCTCTCTCAGGCAATACCATCTCACTCCTGTTTATTTGATCTAGATAAGAAAATGCCCAATCCATCCATCCATCCATCCATCCATCCATCCTTTTTCTGTAAATCCCAGAAGCTACAGCCACAAGACAGGGAACAACCCAGACTGAGGCACCAACCCATCACATCAAATGTCCAAATCTCATACCTATTGTAAATCTTACACCTTGTTGCATGTTCAAAATAATAAAAAAAAAAATCCAAGTGCACACAAATGCTGCCATGTATTAATATAAGCGTACACGTCGCAATGCACAATTAAGATATGATCAGCCATCGACCGCCTACTGTCAGGCTGATCATGTGACTTGCAAGTCGCAAATTTTGAGACCAATCACATGCCGTTTTACAGGTTAGTACCGAATCCCACTCACTAAGAAAACGCCTTTGAAAAAAGCTGAACAACAACAGATTGGTTACGCGTACGCAGGTAGTGTCAATATTAAGCAAACAAACGTCTGTCCATTTAGAGAGTAATGCGCACCTCCCCTGTTTCGGCAAACTCAGTGCATCCCATTTTAAAAGCACGGGGGGTAAATGTAAAATGCATACAGGCCCCATGTTCCACACCCCCGGCTGACTGACGGGCCGTCACAGGCAAACTCTCTCAAACTCAGGTTTCTCCTTAGTCATTATTCCCCAGAGTCAGGGGGGTCTGGACTCGGGGTCAGACTGAGCATCAGTGCACTGTTAGGGCACAGACAGACTGTTATCTCAGCACACAGCATAGCATTAAAGGGGAGGCGGAGGTCACATGACACAGAGGCTCACCCCCAGCAGGGTCAGTGGGCGTGCTCTAAGCCCGCCCTCAGAACAACGTGATACTGTGTAGACTCCTCCTCCTCGTCACATGACCTGGAAAGATCCCCAGAGCATTCAGACAGTCCCTACGGTGCCCCCTACGCCCCAGCAAGACGGAAACACTCCATAGAGCAAGGTTCTTCAAATCTGGACCTCGATTCCAAATCCAGGCCTTGTTTTCAGTTCTCCCAGGTAGTTAGTTTAATAATTACTGATTCTGGTTGGTCAGAGGCTTCACATCTGACTGACAGGTAAAGGAAGACTGGAAAACTAGCAGTGCTCGGACCTCGAGGACCGCGATTTGAATAATCCTGCCATAGAGCTTGTGGTGGAACTGTCAGGCAGGACAGCCCATCATTTTCCCCCTGTATTTACAATTATAAAATAAGAATTACATTAAAATGCGACTAATGTAGCCAGGCAGTGAACATTAATACAGTGGTACCTCAGAACTCAAACTTAATCCGTTCAGAACTCTGGATCAAATCCTGAAAAGGTCCAGTTCTGATCGAATTTTCTCCATAAGAAATAATTTATTTCTTGGTTAGAAATTAATTGGTTCCCGGCCCCAAAAAATTACACCGAAATGTGTTTTTTTTTTAGCATTTAAACACAAAATGTACCGGACAAAACAAGAAAAGCATATACTGTACTAAACACATCTAAGCACATTTATCAAAACAGTAATAATTAAAGTAAGAAAATAAAAGTATCCAAACAATTTGTTAAGTAAAAAAAAAACAATGTGTCCTTAACCCCGTGTGGAATCTCCGTGTGATCAGCTGTTTCTGGTTGTTGTCATTAGTCCTCTGTATTTCGTCCGTGTTTCAGTTTGTTTCCCCAGTCCGGTCTTTGTACTGTCCGCCTGCGTTTTGCCTGCCTTACCTGTAATTAAACCCCGTATTCCCCGATACCCTGACGTCTGTGCCTTTGTCTCCGGTCCGTCCCCGCTGGGCACAACAATATCATTATAATTAAATTTATTAATGGTTTATTATTATTATTAAAATAATTCATAAGAAATGTATTTTATTATATAATAATAATTACTGTTAATGTATCATTGTCTAAATGTATTTTTACTGTCTAAATATATGTATTCAGCTACTGTAAACATGCACGATGCTATCACAGCGAATGCGAGGCTGAGACTGAAGCTTTACGCTTTGTTTCCGCTGAGAGACGTGCCGCGTGACTCATTTCCCCGCACGTACAAGTTATCTTAGGTCAGCATTCACGGTTTGACTTCTGAGATTCAGATAGAATTCCAGGTAATTTTTTTTCGAACTGGTTGGTTCAACTTTCGAAATTCGAGTTCTAATGAGTTCGAGAACTGAGGTACCACTGTATTATGAAGTCCTGATTTGTAGACGTGAGCCACTGGTTTGAGAACAATTGTACACGCACTACAGTACAATTGTACACGCTTTTAAAAGCACATCTCTCTTTCAGACCTTCTTTTGCCAACGAAGCCATGTTTTCAGGTGCTTCGAAGAGAAAAAGTACTTGAGATCCATAGATCAAATGTAAATACGCCATTCTCATCACCATTTAAAGGATAGGAGCGGAAAGAAGGCTGGTTTGTCGCCACCTGGTGGAAGCAGTGAGTATGGCCGCCCCCTAGGCCCACGAGGTTGAATGCTCACCTGGGCGTGACCTGCGTCAGCTCATCAGAGGGGTGCAGGATGCGGCAGGTGGTGAAGGTGTAGGTGGAGCTCGTGTGGGACATGCATTTGCCGGGGAAATGTACTGCAGAATACGGGCGAGAGGGGGCGCCAAGTCAGCATTTAGCACAGAAGACATGGTATAGATCAGAACAAGCCCAAGAAACCAAGAGAAAATTTTAAAGCTGCATCAAGCCTGTATTCACAGCAGCATGCGGTTATGAACAATGGAATCCCATTCACAGGGCACAGAGAGCCATTTCATTACATTACCATAGCCGTATAACATAGTAAATAAGCACCTGTATAATTTATTCCTGTGGATCATGCTCCCCAGAGCCCTTGGCATGATTTAACTTGCTCTGAATACAGGTAATTATGGCCTTTGACTTGATGCAGATTTACAAGAAGAATTTGTCATTAAAGAGACAGGCAGCCAGATAAAAGCATGAAAGATTAGAGAATGGAGGTATGAGGCTCGTGAGGAAGGCACCGGCTGTGCGGTTAGAGCACCCCTTTCTGAATGGGGCCGCTTTAAAAATAGACTAGGTCATTAGATCCTGGCGAGACCTGCTGCCAGGTGCCGTGCGGGTCACACACACTCATGCTATCCACTGGGGGGCGCCGCTGCACGCTGCTGCGTATGTGAAACCGCAGCTGCATGGGACACCATCGCTCACGCAGACGTGCAAACGACCTTCGGGACAGTATCACCACACTGTCACATGAATAATTCCACAGTGCATCTGCAGAAGCAACGGCCCGACCAGGCCGCACGTCCCACCGGGCCTTTCGGATCTGGAATTTCATGGCCCTGAATTACCCCCTCCCCCCCAAACGCAGCTGTAATCAAAGCCCCTGATTGGATGTCGATATGGGAAAGAGGCATGACTGTTTATAGAAACTGATTATAGTAAAAAAAAATGACAGGAGGAGGGAGCAGGACAGGATGGGGAAACTAAATCTGCAGGTCAAAACGGATTGGAGAAGAAGCCGGACCACCATGTGCTGACAACGAGAACAGCCCCATCAGCACCGATACAGGGACGTCGCTCCCCATGGGCCGGGGAGACAGTGACAGGCCCCCTCTTTAGTAAAGTGGAGTAATGTTAAGTTTAAGCAGGACTAGTCATGTCAAACCCTAACCCTGAACCTGAACCCCAACCATAACCTGCTTCTCTACACCCTGTGATGAAACATCTCGCTTCTGTTAGGCAGTTAGTTAAACATGGTTGTTATGGGAGGCAGGGGGCAGTCTAATCTAAACTGCCTCAAGACCCCCAAACAAACGTTTACACTGGGGTTCTCCTGGACAGTAACGTGACTGGTTCATCGGGCAGGTATGTTCAGCACCGATTACAGTACTTAACACGGCTGCAGGCGCCCAACACGGCTGCAGAGAAATGCTCATCATCAGCACACGGATGGTACCGAGGGAAACTGAAGATTCTCGTAAGACGAAGAATTTTTGTAGTGAAATTAAAAATGGGGTATACTCAATGGCACAGGCGCACGCGTCTGGGATGGAGGGGGGTGCAGGTGTGTGCGCGTGGGGGCGGGGGGGGCAGTGCCCGGCGTGCCGCTGGATGTCCTCTAGGGGGCTCCCTCACCAGACGCCTTAGCACTGGTGGCTGGTGGCTCCGTAGGATCCTGGGTGCTGTGCGGGGGGGAAGCTGGTCTCCCGGGGGTGGGCCTCTCACCTGAGGCCTGGGGGTCGCCAGCGTTGTGCCCGTGGGAGGAGGCGGAGCCAGGCCGCGAGGAACACGGCGGGCGCGTGGGGGCTGAGGTAGAGAGGCTCACAAAAGGGCGGTCAGCTGACTCGTCCTCCTCAAAGTCCGTGAACTGGTAGACCTCCTCCTCTGCGTCGACCTCCAGCGGCCGGAAGCCCTTGGTTAGCACGCCCGGCCGCGAGTCCAGGATGCCCCCCAGGTGAGGCTGTGCCAGCTGCTGCCAGTGATGCAGGGTCACGGAGCCTGAGGCAGCAGGGGACAGAATAGGAGAGCAGAGTGCAGGTTTAGGCCGGAGTCCCGCCCACCCTGGGAGCGTAGCCAATCATGTTGGAGAAAAGGCGGGATTTATACTGGTATAGACAACAGCAGTTAGGAGACTTGCTCACAGCCACACTGGCCCACAGACGCACCGTGTATTGTGGCTCGTAACATATTACATCACCACCATCCTGGTGCAAACCTGCCCTTGAATTCGGCGTGAACCTATCACTGACAACAGCCAATAGCATGACTGTATTACCACTGCACCTTTCCTCGGTTCAGAGCAAAGGGTTCAGACCGGCACCTCTTACAGGGTTAGTCACAGAGGCAGACCCACGGCGGGACATCCTGCTCTCGAAAGGTTAGGTACACGACCGACGGCACAAAGAAAGAGAGGAGGGCCAGAATGAGCAGTGGATTTTATTGAAGGGTCATAAAAACAAAGACTGAATGAAACACAGAATGAGAAAGAAAAGGAGTGGAAACAAGCAGGGGGATAGAAACGGCACACGAGGAGGACAACATCAGGAACGGAAAACGTCCGTCCATCCTGTACCCAACCTTCAGAGCAGACGCCTCAGCGCCAATATGATGAGCATACTGGCCCTTTAAGGCTCTAGGGCTTCAGTCCTCCATTTACGCAGGAACTTCAATTATTTGCAAGCTTAGAGACCTCGGGTGACGTCAAGCTGGTCTCCCAAGGTGCCGGGTGGCTCTGCTCTCTGCATCACTATGATTTGGGCGTTATAACCGGGGCCTATTAGCCAGGGTCGCCTTTCCTGATACTGTAGATATACTTCTGGTTTCACTGTATGTACATGATACAATACTATAAACAACAACAACAACAACAATAATAATAATAATAATCACTATAAATAATAACATGAACAACAAAAATAAAAACAACAACTTATATGCAGTGCAAATGCCACGCGAGTGTGAGCCCAGCCACTGTGGGGGTTCGAGTCCCTCTCGCTCACTAGGGGATCTCGAACCAGCAGCGTGGCTGCGTGTGCCGGAAGTAGAAGGAGTGTTGCAGTGTGGAGAGGCCAGCAGCCTCGTGGTTGAGGAGGGCCCAGAGGGCGTCGCGGACGAGCAGCGGCAGGGGCGGGGGCCCGGCGCGGTCACCTTCCAGCGGCTTGACGATCTGCAGCTTCTCGGGCAGGTAGGAGCGGCTGTAGACGGAGTAGAGCGACAGGCCTGAGTGCTGCGTGCCCAGCGAGGCCAGGCTGTCGGTGGGCGTCAGGCCGCCGCTGCCCAGCTCGCCCCGCTCCGCCAGCGCCTGCAGCTTCCGCTCCCGCTCCTCCTCGAAGAAGCGCCGCTCACTTAGGTAGTTTTCTCGCCGCAGGGACAGGCGCCGTAGCGCCACCTCCAGGTCACGCGAGCCCGGTGTGCCGGGGGTGCCCAGCTTCTTGTTGGAGTCGACGGGGCTGCGGCCCAGAAGCCAGGGGGGGTTGGAGAGGAAGAAAGAGGGAAAGACGAAAATGAACGTCAAATTTGGACAGCTGGCATGTGGACCTAGTGGAAGCTTCTAGAACATACAGATGATGGAGAGAGACAAAGGATGAGCCTGTATGTTTATGGGCCCAAAGCAGCTCGGGACCGTCAGTGGAAATGCATAGCAGGATTCCAATAGGCTGCTGGTTCTGGAGAACGGAAGGAAGGTCGCTGGGTCCAGTCCCAGGACAGCAGCAGACTCTAACACTCCTGAGATTTAATCTAAGAACCCACCCTGTGATCCAGCTATAAGAGTTTTGGCCGGGGGGGGAGGGGTTTGTAATTTTACAGAAGGGTGGGAACACGAATGAAGGACAAAAATGTGCTCTAAGGGTAATTAATGGGGAAGGGGAGGGGTAACAGCATGATGCTGATACTGTGATCCCACCCACCTGCCCCCCGACGACGACCCCGTCTCCAGGATGATGCTGTTGGTGCGGTTGTCTATGACAACGTTGCTGACATCACCGGCGTACAGGCTGGAGCGCGGCGTGCTCCTGCAGCTGGACCGGGCCGAATTGAGCACCGACGACTGGTTGGACCCCGGGATGTTCATGGGGGAGGGGCCCCAGGAGCGCTGGCGGACCGTCTGGTTGACGTTCTTCACCGTCTCGAACACGCGCCGAGGGTGGGATCTGTTCGCATACAGGAGGGTCGCGGTGAATCCACCGGAATCTACATGGACTTAGCAGTGATGCCGGAACAATCACACTGGCCACTGAGCTGCCCTCCAAAGCGTACGACACACCCACTTCTGCTCCTCCGTTTCCGGGTCGTCCATCTGCAGCTCTTTCCTCATGGTCCCCTCTATCTCCGCTGCCAGAGAGTCCTGCGGGGGTCAGAGGTCACGTCTCAGCAAAGCCCCAACACGGGCACCTCCGCTACACCCCGAGATAGAGCTCATCAGGGCCCCCAGCCCACTGACCATGGGGAAGAGGCCCAGGGAGTGGAACCTCCGGGGCGTGCTCAGGGGAAGCGCCCGATTCCTCAGGTTCTTCAGCTCCTCCTGCGCCTCCCGTAGCATCTCCATGCACTCAGCATACTTGTCCTCCAGTTCGCGCAGCTGCCCAGAGGTTGGGAGGGAGAGAGAGACGGCGGGCCGTGTCATTGGCCAGTGAGGGAGCGAAGGTCAGACAGCAGGCTCTGTCATTGGATGGTGTGGCTGGAGGCGGGGCTCCATGCTCCACTTACCTCCGCGGTCAGCTGCCGCTGGGCGTCCTTCGCTGCCGCCAAATGCTGGTTGAGCTCCTCGTTCTCGATGGCGTACTATGGGAAACGGGAGCAGACGATGGAGTTATGGACGTGCCCCAGGATGCCTAAATGGACCTCTGGGATATGTACGCCGGCTGGAACTCACGGATTTGGACTTCTTCTGCAGGTCCACGATCTGGGACAGGAGATGCGTGATCTCCTCCTGCTGGCGGGAGGCATCCTCCGTCTTTTTTGCCAGCTCCTCCGCGATGGATGTGATCTGGAGGTTGGCATCTCCTACGGGGAGGGGGAAGGAGGTCATGGAGGCCATGATGGGATCAACAGTAACATCGCAAGTCTCCGGGATTAAGGAGTAACTCCCAAAGCACGACTGCCCTTTAAATGGTCTGTCAGGCTGAGGCAACAGCAACATGACTAGTTAAGTGGCAACCGTGTAATATAAATACCAGCCCTCACATAGTGGGGGGGGGGGGGGGGGTTGTAGCAGCTGGTGTCTCATTATGCAGACAGGCTCATAATGCACATTAAGGTATGTAATCAGCACAGACAGAGGGAAAGTGGACCTTCATGCACTTTGTCCTTATAGCCCAAAACCCTGCGTACTCACACGGCTCTCTAATGCGGCCCAAAACCCTGCGTACTCACACGGCTCTCTAATGCGCCCCAGAACCCTGCGTACTCACACGGCTCTCTAATGCGCTCCAAAACCCTGCGTACTCACACGGCTCTCTAATGCGCCCCAGAACCCTGCGTACTCACACGGCCCTCTAATGCACCCCAGAACTCTGCGTACTCACACGGCTCTCTAATGCACCCCAAAACCCTGCATACTCACACGGCTCTCTAATGCGCCCCAAAACCCTGCGTACTCACAAGGCCCTCTAATGCGCCCCAAAACCCTGCGTACTCACACGGCTCTCTAATGCGCCCCAAAACCCGGCGTACTCACACGGCTCTCTAATGCGCCCCAAAACCCTGTGTACTTACGCAGCTCTTTAACACAGTCATTCACGAGCTGCTGCTCCTTCTCCTCGTACGAGATGGTCTCCGTCTCCAGGTGGCACGCCTGGCAGTGAGACGGTGGGCGGAGTTACATCCCAGTCGCCACGGCAGCCGGACCCCTCCCTCGCTCCCCGGCCACCTTACCTCCGACCGCAGCACGATGTTCTCCTCCTCGAGCTCCTTCAGCTTCTTTTGCAGCGAGTCAAGTGGAAAGTAGCTTGGCACAGAGGATGACGAGTCATTACGGCGTAGCCTAGCAGTGGGGGGGGGGGGGGGGGGGGGGGGGAGAGAGAGAGCAGCAGTGACCACGTGTGCACGTACATGGACGCAGACTGCCTGCCGATTAGTACCGACCCCCAGGGTGTCAGGTGACGGACGCGTCACAGCTGGACACATAACTGGCTTAAGGAAGCAGCTTCACAGTAACGAGCGAGAATCACGCCTGCTGTCTGTCACATGACGGGGGGGGGGACGGGACCCGCCCGGCTCTTTGTATCTGTATTAAGTTACACAGAGCAGACCACAGACAGCAGAAAACAAACAACATGACAGAGCTTTGATCAAGTGTTTACGGAGGATGGAAGCCTAATATACTGCGGCACAGAGTCAGAGCCGGGAAGTGGGGGGGCGTCACACACGACACACTGGAGTGTTCAGTCTAGGGAGTTAATCCAGTACAGGATTACCAAGAACCACCAAGAACCACCAAGAACCACAAAATGGCTGTTTCCCATCGTAAAGTATGCTAGCTGGAAACCGCACTAGCGTGGTCCGGCACACAGAAAGTGTGACCAAACAGAGTCATCTGCGTCACCACCTCTGACTGGTCTAAATGGATGGAGATACTGGTGTCCTGCGTTAATATGCATGGATTATCTGAAGGAAAAAAGGGATTTTCTATATATTATTCATTATTAGTAGTATCGCACATCGCGGTGTATTGATGCATTCCCGATAAATCGGAACTTAAAATTTGAACCTCCTGCTTAAAAAAGTACTATTGAATAGCTGAACAGAATGGATTCACAATGCAAATTTACACAAGCAAATGCCAATTCCTCTAGCGTTTGATACTTGCATAACACGGCGATTCTCACAGACATGCTAGCGGAAATTAGCACACAATAAAAAAATTTAAATTGCACGAACACACGCTGGTGGTGGGGTCTACTGCGGTATATCATGATGTATACACCGTGAGAACTGTAAATAAGCATCTCTTCGGTTTGTTCGTCGCTGTCGCTCTCCAAACCCAGCACCTTAAATCGAGCCGACCCTTCTGCTTTGGAAAACTGAAGTGAGTTGGAACTGCGCAGTGACTGGGTTCTCTGTGGTACGGTTTGGGTACGACTGGTTCCTATCTGCCAATGGAAAAGCGCCATTAAAGACAATAACCCCGTCAAGCAGGAAGCGAGTGATGATCCCAGGAGGACAATCACTGGAAGGAACAAACAGGATGGTAGATGACGGAGGCTGTGCCCCGGGGGAATTCCCCCGCTCACACTGACAGGCTCTTCATGGCTGACTGTGCTGAAGCAAGTCCATTTTATGTTTTATGTTTATTTGAACCAGACAGTTCCTTAACCACAGTGCCACCTGCTGGCCGATAGTGGGAGAAGGTGTCCCGGGGGCAAATGTGGCAGGTACCAGCAGGAGGGTGTCAGACTCACGGTGTGGAGGTGATGGATTCCCCCTCGCTCTCTTCTGCTGCGCTGGTGTAGAACTGTAGCAGTTCGTCCTTCATGGAGAGCTCGTGTCGCAGCTGCGATACCTGCGGGGCAGGTCACAGGAACGGGGGCGTTAGTTGGGGGGGGGGGGGACACCCTCTTGGGTAACCACACACTCTGGGTAACTGCACACCTCAGGCGTCCTCACCTCCTCACGGATGATCTCCACCTGCTCCTCCAAGGATTCATTTCGCTCACTCAGGGTCTTGTTCTTCTTCAGCAGAGACTGGCCGATGCGGGCCGCCAGCTCCAGATCACGTTCTTTCTGCGGGGGAGGGTCAAAGTTCGAGTCTGCGAAAGCGTGTACACCGAGGACCTGACCCAGTGTCCGCTCCCCCACGTCATTCGCGGTCACGCCTTCAGAAGTAGAAAATTTAAGCTTTTTAAGCTTAACCCACAGCCTCTTGCCTTCCTACAACAGGGCAGTAATCTACAGTAACCAGTAGACTTTAGGCCGCCAAGTACTTTTATCTGGGGTACAGCAGCATGAGCAGTTATGAGATTACCCACAATGCTCTACTGTTCTGATTTGCATTGAACTGGTTCTCTCTTGCATTTCAGAGATGTGTTTCTAAGCTGCCCACAACATGTGTGCGTCTGTGTGTCCAGGGCCCTGAAAGATGGACAGCTGGATGGGTAAGAACATGGCTTGTTAGGCACGTCATCGCGTTCGGCGACCAGCCTCCTGTCCCAAACCTCAGGTGCAACAAGTTCCTCACCCCGGCTACTGAAGCCGTTAATGGGATTTCTTAGCCCCCTTCTTGGCCCCAAATTAAAGTGCATGACGGTGAAGTGCCTCACCTCCTCAAGCAATCGGGTCACGGCGTCGATGTCATTGTATGTCTTGGTCATCTGGCCCACACGTTCAGCACAGAGGACTGTGGGAGGGGGGGAGGGGGGTTAGGAACACAGAAAGCAGATGGAAGCCATACATGTGACAGGGCAGACAGCTTGACCCCCCACCACACACACACCCTGTACAGTCAGTGCCCCCACCTGGCTAGATGCCCCGTTTCCGGGAGTCATGACGACAGTGTTTTCTTCACGTGTTACATAATGCATCTCAGAAATGACTAAAAAAAAATACTAAACCACAGAGGTGCCTCAGAGGTAAAGGCACTGAATGAGACAGGGACACCGGCAGGTGACATGCTCTCGTCCGGGTGACATTGCCAGTGGGAAAAATCACTCATGTGAGGAAGGTCAGACTGCGGCTTTCGCATGACATGCTGCGCGGCTGCTCCGCCGCATAGTAAAATCAGCCAGCTGCCAGTTCTGCGGCATCGTCCACATCATCCAAAGCTAAGAAAGCAGGATCCGCCAGTCTCTGTGGCAGCTGGGATTTTGAGTCTTGCTCACGGGCCCAATGGTGTTATCACTCTGCTGACACTGGGATTAGAACCAGGGTCTCTCCCCTTACAGTATCCTAACCTGCTGATCAGCGCGCCGCCCCCATTACCTTCATGCTGTCAGCTTACTTAGGGAATTTCACCCATTAAATACAAATAACATTAACTGCAAGACCTCCCTTTAACTCTGTTGAGGCGCAGGTCCAACATCTCCTCCCAGGAAGATGAAACGTCAACCTTCTGCAGCATGTGATCATAACAGATGACCAGCTAAGCAGACATTAACTGGACACCTACCACCGATAAGCTAAGCCGGTGATGAGATCGGCTCACTGTGAAACTGTAGCGGTGCTTGCGGTGTCTGGCCACAAGGGGGCGTCCTCACACCCAGGTGCACAGCCGCTCCGACACTGAACACAAACACCCCTAAGCCTGCTCACCCCCCCCCTTTCACTGCTGCATCCCTCCAACACAAGACACCCTACAGCCTCCCCAGGAGAACATCACACGTCCAAAACAGACCCCGCCGAGCATCAATTCGTCATTCCAGTTTTCCCATAAACACTGAGGAGGGCGTGTGCCCACAGGACCAGCCAGAAGGTCACCGCCCCGCAGAAGAGCGGGGGTCACAGTCCACTTCGCTATACTCAGGGTCAGAAGGAATGCTGTAATCACAGGGTGTGTTTGCTGGGGCCGTATCTCACCCCGTAACTCAGTAACGACACAAACACACAGGGCTCACTGAAAGGACAAATTTGGAGGATGTGCCATCACTGTAATTAAGCTCAATTCAATGACACCCAACACGGATCTTAAAGGCACGGATTAACATTTACAATAGAACTACATTGCACTACACAGCAAACAGTGCACAGTCGAACCCGTGCCAGCCACAGCAAGGAGTCTGCTGCCAGAAGCCGAGGCGAGCCCTTATTAAATATAAATAAGCACACTGATATCAGGAGAGAAGCCGCTTAGGTTCAGAGGGAGGACGCCGTTTTTACCATGACTAGCAAACACACCATTAATAAGTAGATCATTAACATATTGAACTTTACTGGACGATTCATCGCAGAAACACTCGCTTCTTGGCTAGGTGGTGTAGATTAACCCTTTGTGTCTGTGACTCTCAGACAAGTCAGCACAACAGCAGGCCGTGTGCAATTGTGACACTGCTGTGCAGTGCGTCTGTTTGAAGAACGGCACGGGGGATCGAGGAGGAGGAGGAGGAGAAGGGCACAGAGTCATGACAGCGGGAGAGTGGCAGCCGTGTCGTCGTGCAGGGACACCACAGAGAGCGAAAGCACTGAAGCGGGGAGAGACTGCATTCTCGGCTGATGACACGGCCATTATTACACCACACAGATAAAACCAAACGCCAATACAGCCACTGAGCAGTAATAATCACAAACCAGTCACTGCTTCTGGCCTCAGGTTAGGACATCAGATACCAGATAAGTGCCCAACATCTCTCCCTGCACCACGCAGATTATCACCCCCAAGCTCAGACTTTGTGTCGACATGCTGGAAAAACCATAACTGAAGCGATTGATTAAGTTAGACAGACCAGCAGAGAGGAGAAAAACACGTCAGCCAGGGGCTCCTACAGCGTCACAGCACCCACCGGGGAACGAGACCCACAAATGGAGGAACCGGAAACAGAGGCTACCTTCATGCAGGGACAGCGGGTCCTCCACATCGGCATCGTATTCGCACTGGGAACCAGACGTGTCAGGGGGTTCCGGAGAACAGCTCCGCTCAAAGATCTCCTCCTCGGGAAAGTTCAGGGGCGAGGAGGACATGATCCGCACACATTAGCGTGTTAGCGGTCCGTGACGGAGGAAGGATCCTTCAGAACCGCCATTATGGCTTTTGCTTCTATTGGTTAGAAGACACCCAGGACAAGCTGAGCTCCCAGCCCGGACGGGCACACCCTCACGGTTACTCTGTCCCATGCGCTTTGTTTGTGTTCAACCACCACAGCAGGGAGGGATCAGGCTAACTGAAGGGGTGCCTCATTGGCTCGGTCCGTAACCCGGGCAAAGCATGACGACGGATTCACTGAAAATTACAAAAAACACCTAGATGGTTTTGCAAATATAGAGGAAAGTTGAGAGCTAAGTTGTGTTTTTTACTCACACATATATGCATTCACACTTACATCTATCTGGCCTCCCCTCTCCATATAGGGAAAATGGTACGCTCTGAGGAAGTGCCATGGAAACTTAACTAGGTAGCTCAAACTACAAAACAGGCACACCTGTTCCTGGGGGTGGAGCCACAGGTGACTCAGTTTGCTCTTATCACACATATTTATGCAAAGTAAGGGTCAAACAGGAGATAATGGCTCATTCTTACTCTGCCTGGTTATGCAACACCAGCAACTCTGCGTTTTGAAATCAACAGAAACAGAAAGATACCGAAAGTCCAGTGATTGCTGAGATGTTTAGTGCTGTTACACTACAGAGTATTTTTGCGCACACAATGAAGTATCGCTATGGAGACACCACAGTAACCACAAGCGCGAAGCTGGAATGCGCCACGGACGTGCCAGAGGGTGGAAAGCTCCGCCCATCACTGGGTTATAAGCTCCCAAAAAAACAAAACAAACAAAAGCCACATCAGCCTGCTGGTCCACTTCCACGATGGAGACAAATGACCCACCCTCCTCAGAGAATGGGTATGCTGGTGGATCCCCTCCCATATCCCCCCCCCCCCCAGCATCAACAAAATCTGCCTGGAGTTAATGTCACCCTGGTGCAGATAGGACCTAGACTACACCTGCCGTTCTGTTTGCAGTATTATGTGACAGCATGAAATCACCTCGTATACATTCACATTAAAATGTGAGGCAGGATAAACAGCTTGAGAATATTGAAATCCAGCAGCTAGAGATCAAATGGAGCCCCGAGTGCAACAGACTGTTCCGCGTCTCTGCCATAGAGTCTCAGCAAACAGTGGCAGCACGTCTGAGCTGTACCCCCAGCGCCCGCCGTGATGTGACCGCCAAGCCACATCCCTGTCAGCCAATTTGCATGTGCAAACCTGCTCCGGGACCTGCTGCTGCTGCGGCCCCCCCCCCACTCCTATCCGACAGCTGTGCCGGGGGGTGTAGACACGTGGTGCTGCATCAGAAACACACATGCGGACAGCGCGCTGGGACCCGCTTTAGCGCGTGATGACATGGGGAGGGGCGCGTCTGGGTTCGTCATGATGAGAATGTGACTCTCTGCCCCCCCCCCAAATGATGCGATGCTGATGCCACACCGAACGCCGTGGAGGTCATACGCGAGACACAGGGGGCGAGCAGGCAGGACAGATGCAGCCGCAAACACAGACGTAGACACGCACTCAGGAGGTCGGACAGACACTCGGCGTAACCCCCCCCCCACAGCTGCCGGCCGCATCGATCGCAGGAGCGAGAGGAGCAGCCGCTGAGGCTGTCGCCGTACCATCAGTGCACTCTTCATAGTACCAGTCCAGCTCGAAGTAATCCGCCTCGACGAATCTCTGCATAATCAGCGTCCTTCTTCCATGCTGCCCAGTCAGGAGAATCGCAGGCCGTCCTCCACGCCGCCCGCGGTCCAGCAGGGGCCAGCTCCCGTCCACACACGCGATCTGCTACCCGAATGGGAGTACGGGGGGGTGGGGGAGGGGGCAGGCTGCCAGAAAGCCCCGTTATTGGGAAAGGGGCGTGTCCAATTTCGTGCTCCAAGGCTCTGAGCGGCCGAGTCAGTGCCGGATCCTGACAGGCGGGGGAGGAGCGAAGGCCGGATAAGAAGGCAGCCAATAGCAGCAGGCTACATCAGAGACACACCCCCGACGGGGCCGTCCGTCACGCCCATCCCCCCCATCTCTCTCTCTCTCTGGCTCTCTCGCCCACATCTCTGCAGATGCAGCCTACATCGTCTTCCAGGGGCGGTTGCCATGGCGACTGGCACAGGGCAAGATTCCACATGAATGCCTGGCCCTCCCTCCCTTTAAGGTCCCTTTAAGAAATAAACGCATCATCATCCGCACCCTGAAATGATGCAAAGCCGAGGGCCTGACAGCAGCACATGCAGAACGGCAGCTAATTTAACACAGAGGCTGGGATTTCAGTCCTCTCTGCCAACCAGGGCCACAGAAGGATGGGGGGGGGGGTACAGGCAGGGGTCTGGATGTGCCGTCATATGCTGTTGCTTACTGGAAATAATCAGCAAGATCAAATTCAATTTTAAAAGGAGACAATCTTATTAGGAATCTCTAAAAATGTGAACACAGTGAAGCCACACAAACAGGACGGACTGTGAAAATGTAATCATACTGTGTATCACGTCTGGGTCTACATTAAAGACGTGTCCGGTGTGGTGATACAGTTCCCCTTATATGCGTCTCTGTCGGCCGTCTGCCCAGAGGGACGCCCTGCTAGGTGGCAACGTGACAGATTGCCCAGCTGCCCCTCCCACTGACTCGGAGGTCACGTGACTGGAGCCATCGCCACCGGGAAATAGTGGCTGAGTGGGGACTCTGGGCAGACAGCAATACAGGCACACCGGTGTTCAGGCTCCAGGAAAGCGGCTCAACAAGGCTGACAGGGCGGGGACTGAGCAGACAGCCTTAGGGTGTTCAGGCTTGAGTATCCCCATAGGCAAAATATCAAAAATACCCCAGACTGCCAGTTGTGTATAAAAGCTCATACAGACTCATTCCACAAATGCTACAGTTCCGGACGCAGTCCCTGGCATGCTCACCCCCGCCTTGCTGACGTCGAGCTCCACCCAGAGTGGGGCTGGGGCTTCTGCTCTCATCTGCATACATTCATGATGGTCTACAGAACACGACACGTGGTGTGTCACAAAGATCAGGTCCGACACGAACCACAGGCAGGCTCCATCGTCTGCCCGTGGCGAATCTCTGCGCTCTAGTTCCACGTCGTTTAGATGGATGTGGCACGAGGGATTCGCTTCAGACTGAAAGGAGATTGATGCAGCGTTCCCCACGTGAGCGTATGAGGAATCAGTGACTCCAGTCCTGACGACACTCGCTGTCATGGCCGCAGGACACTGACTCACCATCGACTGCAGCCAAAGCTGCCCAGACCATCCAGACACAAACGCCCTCTAATCATCGGCACCTGTTCCTAAAGCTAAAAATAATCCATAGATCCTGGCATCTTACAGCTAGGAAACAGATTTGGTCACATAGGATCAGTATAAATTCCTGGTGTTTGATGACAATTGTTAATACTGAATGCCAAACTGCAGAAACATGTACAGATGATTAACACATTAACAACGCCCAGCTTACGTCTTTCCTACAACAGAATCAGCACTGACAGTACTCTGTCCATCCATCCGTCTGTCTGTCTATCCATCCATCCATCCATCCATCTTCTAACTACGAATCCTGGTCAATTCTCGATTACACATGAATCCATGACACTATCAGAAAGTGAAATGTAGTCCAGATTATATCCAAATACTATCCAAAAACGGAATAATTTGAGACTGAGTGCTGTTTCCGCATGCCAGGAAGCCAGGTTAACTGAAACCAAAGTATACAGTACTTTTGTATAAGTCCTTGAGTATGGATCAGTGAGTATAGGTCCTTAAACATAGGCCATTGTGCATAGGTGCTTGATTATAGGTCCTTATATGGCCTTGAGTATTGGTCAGTGAGTACAGGTCAGTGAATAAAGGTCCTTGAGTGTAGTTCAGTGAGTATAGGGCTTTAAGAATGTCAGTGTGAGCATAGAGCAGTAAGTAAAGGCCCTTGAGTGTAGTTCAGTGAGTATAGGTCCTTATGTATAGGCCAATGAGTATATAGGGCCTTGGGTACAGGTCAGGTACAGGTCAGTGAGTATAGGGCTTGGAATTTAGGTCAGTGGGTATATAGGGCCTTGAGTACAGGTCAATGAGTACAGGGTCTGGAGTATAGGTTAGTGGGTATTTAGTGCCTTGAGTATAGGCCAGTGAGTAAAGCTCCTTGAGAATAGGTTAGAAAGTATAGGCCCTTGAGTACAGATCAGCGAGTATAGGTCCTTAAATATAGGTCACTGAGTATAGGGCCTTGAGCATAGCTCAGTGAGTAAAGGTCCTTGAGAATAGGTTAGTAAGTATAGGCCCTTGAGTACAGATCAGCGAGTATAGGTCCTTAAATATAGGTCACTGAGTATAGGGCCTTGAGCATAGCTCAGTGAGTAAAGGTCCTTGAGTCTAGTGCCTTGAGTATAAGTTCCTGCAGCAGCAAACAGAAGAGAGCATACAGCATTTTGGGGGAAATTCCCCTTTAAGTATGAAACGGGATGGAGCTGGAGCCTCCAGGCCAACCTGGGCAAGCATCTGCAGCCACACAGGCGAGTGAGATGTTTCCTCCTCCAGCAGTCTGACATAAGCAGGAAGAGTGGGGTGGAGGGTGGAGGGTGGAGGGTGGCCGGGGCCATCTGAGCACACCAAGGGTGCCAGCTCATGGCACAGCTTTGTTGTAGCAACCGTGGTGTGTGTCTGACCACAGCAATCCCAGGCTGGCAGAGAGGGGCGCGTGGAAAGTCTGTCCGAGTCAGATGCCTGTATAACGGGTAGGAGAGCAAAGCCGGCAGCACACGATATTCACCGCACAGTCAACCCAGACTGTACGCTGAAGCTCTATATGGCTCTTTGCGTGAAATCGGAAGGTTGGGGGTTCACATCTCATGGCAGAGTGATGTCACTGTTGGGACCCTGAGAAAGGTCTTTAACCCCAATTGCTCCCGAGACTGACTGGCCCTGCTTTCTCACCCATACATCACTTTGGATAAGAGCTTAAACAGTAACTGTATATGCTGAGACTATTTACCTGTGTCACAGTCAAAGTCTTTATACTAATTACAGACATGAGGCATGCTTTTAGCTCTAATAGTAAAAACAGAATATATACCTGCAATATAAATAACGATTACATTATATAAACAAACAGGAGACTGTTTTCAATGTTATTTCCATTTCACTGAATCAGTGTTTCCCAATCTGGTCCTCGGGGACCCAAAAACAGTCCACATTTCTGCTCCCCCAGTAGGAAGCTGGGAGGGAGCAAAAATTTGGACTGTGTGGGAGTCCCTGGGGTCCAGATTAGGAAACAATGGTGTAAAAGGCAGATGTTTCCCCGTGTGGTACGGAGGTGTGTGTCAGCAGACCGGTCAGGACGCGGGGAGGCTCTTACGGAAGTACTTGAGGGTCTCCTCGATCTGCTCGGTGGTGAGGTTGAGGCCGGCGTCCGGCGGGACGAGCGGCGTGTGCAGCCAATCGTCGTGGTCGTAGCCGTAGATGGTGTCCGCCCGCAGCCTGTAGTGAGGCAGCTGCTCCTCCAGCAGACTGATGATCTCGACCTCTGGGAGATCCGTGCTGTTACACACGTCTGTGGAGGAAGGGAAACAGGGCGGGGGGGCGTTAAGACAAGACCACGGCAGAGAATTGGACTGACAAAGTGGAGAGGTCTTACAAGAAAATGTTCTGAGAGCAGTAGGAAAAATGATTGGTTCAGAAAGTCTTCTAAACACGGTAACAGCCAATGAGTTATAGGGTCACTAATGGTGGCCAACCTTTGCACAAGTACCTAGATACTCACCTACTTCCCTTATCTTTTTCTATTTTTTTTTCCATTAGCGCACAGAAGTTTTGTCTGACCGCGTCCAATTTCCATTACCTACAGTCCCATTGGGCCATGGGATCTAATCACATGAGATATGCAAAGACTGTGGACTCATTCTGGTGGTATGTCCTGACCTCTAGTGGAAAGCTGAGGTATTGCACCTTTTTGATACATTATGCAAACTCACATGAAGTCTAATAAAGTCAGTTCAATTATTAAGAGAAACTATTCATATCTTGGCTTAATGGGGAAAATGTCATAGCATAGGTCTCCAATTGTTCAGATATCAAGGTCATGTTAAAAAAAGTCTCGCTGTGCTAGGAAAGGCAACACCAGCTCCCTGAAGGGGGGCCACTGGCCTTTATTCTGCCTCGGCTGTGATCTGTCTGAGGGTTACTGCCCCCCTTCAGAGAGAGTGTGGTCCAGGAGCCGCAACACAAGGAGCAAGCAAGTCTGCCTGCGCTACATTTATCCCTTCTTACTCACTACTGCTCACCATTAACATATCAGTCCACCTGCATGAATACAGCATAAATCAACTGTCACCCAAAGTCATTTGAGGCTTGTTCCCGGTCAAGCATGTTTAGCTTTACAGGTCATTGAAAGGTCACAGCATGTCTGTGTGTGCATATGGCTGTGCGTGTGAATGTGTGTGTGTGTCCGTGTGAGTTAGCGTGTGCGTGTATGGGTCTGTGTGAGATATTTATGCGTATGTGTGAGAGTCTGTGTGTGTGTCTGTTAGTCTGTGTCTGTCTGTGTGTGCATGTGAGTGCGTGTGTGTTTGTCTGTGTGCCTGTCTGTCTGTGTGCACACGCAGCCTCAGAGGTTTAATTAGGGTCGTCTAACCAATACCTCACAGACTGTGACCGTGTCCTGATAAACCCACCCCGGTCCCCATCGCCAAGGAAACGCAAAGCCACAGAGCAGTCTTACTGCTATTATTCTTACTGCATTTCATCCCCGTTAAGGGCAGCAGTTAAAAATAACATTAACGTGCATGGAAGCTGGCTGCCTCTGGGCAGACAAAACACCTCCTCAGTTCCAGACAGACCAAGCCGCTGACCAGAGGTGGAGACTCCAGTCACTGACTTGCAACTCGACTTGGACTCAAATCACAAATTTCATGACTTGTGACTCGATTCGGCAAAACTGATGGAAAGATTTGGACTTGAGGGCAATGATTTCACACTTGGACCCGACGACTCCAAAAGTCTTGAGGTTATACTCCCCCCTCTGGATATCATAATATTAATTTTATCATTTCTGTGTAAATTAATTCTGTGTTGTCATTTTCAACTGGCTGAATGCCAGATCTCCTGGAATAGTTTGTTGAAAAGATGCATCACTAGCTGCATATACATAGACATAAAAACTATGTGAAGACAACTGTGAGTGGACATTCTCTTTTCAACGTATCTCTGCCAATAAAAAACAGATCCTATGATGTACTGTGGTGGGTTTTAATCACTAAAGGTAAAAACTGACATAGGTAGGAACTCAAATTACATGATTCACAACTGAACTTGGACTTGAGTTACAAATCTGATGACTTCTGACAGCAAAAATTTTGGAAAGACTTGTACTCAACTTAGACTAGAAGGCAAATGATGTTTTGACTCGAAACTTGACTCGGACTCGCCAAGGAATGACTCTTCCCATCCCTGCCACTGACATGGGCGAAACAGGCCAGGAGGGACCATCAGCAAACGAGGACAGCCATGATGCCGGGGGCCAATGGGGTGGAGCCCAGGTCCCTGCTGGTAGAATCACGGCAGGCGGCGAGGGTTGGATTTACTGGCGAAAACATGAGATTACAGGAGGAGACGTAGAGACCAGAAGTCTGCGGCCAAAGATCAAGGCCTGCTGCCTGGTTATCAGTTATCCGTACTGAGCAACCTCTTATTAGGGAGGGTCAGTCACTGGAACATGTGGATACATAGAAAATTCCAGAATCCCCTGGGGCCTGCATGTGACCTCATGAGGAGAGCAAACGCCGTGTGACTGAGCTGCACTGTGATCCCTCCCCCCCTCAGCTCATGGAAGTTTTACTTACAGAAAAATGTTCTGAGGGCAGAAGGAAAAAGAATGATTGGCCCCTCTACAATTTGATTGGTTGACTTTCTGAACCAATAATTTTTCCTACTGCTCTCAGAACATTTTCTTGTAAGATATATCTCCCATGAGCTCCTCCCCAAGATGATTTCGCTCTTCCTGCAGCTGGATGTCCTTCTTTGGCCCAGTTACTCATGGGGGACAATACTATTTATCTACTAACCCTTTACCCATTCAGGCACAATCTCTGCTCAGCAGTAACTCAGAGGGACTCCGAGGATGTTGGGAGGTTTTCAGGCCCGAATTGCAGGTGCTGCTGGCCACCTTCTGGCTGAGCGCGTGAAAACCTCGGATCATTCAAGACAACTGCATGAGCAAAGTAACAATGCCTTCTTTTATACCAATATCATTGCTGGAACTTTCCGGGATCATGCTGAATGTAGGTTAGAATAGTATGAATGAGCAGCAGGCATCAGAGCAGACACGGATTACAGGATCACACACACATATGTCCAAAACATGGCGGACGCGCCGCATATCGTTATAATCAAACTCTGGAATCGGTCCAGCCTCTTCTTTGTCTCCTAGCAACGTACTCATATAAGTACTTCATGAAGAGAGCTGACAGGGGCTCTTGATGTTGCAAGTGACCTGCTGGTCATTCACACACTGTATTTATAGGCATGTTTTGGGCAGCTGGTTTTTCCCCACTGTCCTTCCCTCCCCTCGACAGCCCCCACGCCGGCCAAGATCCCCAATCACAAAGAGCCAAATCTAAACTGAATAAGTCACAAAGGAATCCAGACACAAGGCTCATTCATGCCCAAGCTGCTTGCCACATGAAATCAGACATATTTCATTATATACCGAATGTGTGTCTGCGAGACTGAAAGCGAATCAAAAAAATGTTTACACTTCTGATGAATATTATTTCTGAATAATAAACAGGCTATTTATTGCTGTCATAAAGTGTTTCCATAACAAAACCCAACATTTCAACAGCTTAAGAAAAGGTCAGCCTGAAAGTTCTTAAAAAGTTTCCAAGTGGCTTTTTTAAAAAGCAAACGAGCTTGCATGGGTCACACAAAGTCACGGAGTATCACACGTGTTAACCCCGCGACTCTGCCGCGACGGGAGCCGAAGGGAGCCCGGTACTCACTCATGCTTCTGGTAGCCTCACACTGCCTCGGCACACGCGGAGTTACATTTTCTGCTTTGCCGGCCGCAGATGGGGGTAAGGGTGAGGGAAGGCGCTCGCTGCCTCGCTGTCCAGTTGTGACGCCACCGGTCACATGGTACAGCCCCCCCCCCCCCCAGCCAAACATAGACCAGTCACTGCGAGGCCAAGTTCACCCCCCTCACCGTGACGTGGCCATGCACAGACCCCAGGGGCTGCTGGGATTTTTCTTAACCAGACGACCTCTTCTGCATGCCTGAGGTCCCTGCATTGCAAGGGTGTCCGGTTCTAAGAGGGAAATTCGATTTATACGCTGAACTGTGGGTCAAAAATTAAATAAATAAATAAACCCTAAACACCATAAATCATAAACTTGAGTTTCACTGTCCAGCGTGTTAACAGGTGCCTCAGTGCTCTGATTTAGTTCCAACGTCTGCCATGGCAAACGTATATTACAGCAGCGCGACGTACGTGCTGGTATCGCTTTACGTCAGCAGGGACAT